AGGTGGAGTAGGAGTAGTGCCCTGGGAGCCGTTGGAGGTGCTCATTTCTTTTTGTGTAGCCATGCCTGTTGATGTTGTCGGTATTTTTGTAGAAGTTGAATTCTCCCTGACTGCTCTCATACCATGTTGGGCTGAGAAAAGCCCTTAGGATCTTTACAGGGATGAACTCTGGGTAGGACTGTAATAGCGGAAGCGTTTTTAATGAAGAGATTGTGAACCACCTTGCGCTAGTATGTGAGGGCAAAGTAAGTTGATTAAAACAAAGAGATACAAGGTTATATATAAGAGTACAAGGAATACGAAGGGATACGGTTGTAACCGCTTTACTGTTGCTGTTGCGGTTCGATACAGTGACGACTCGGGCAACTGCTCTGTAGCGAGTCAGTTGTGTGTCCTTGCTGTCGCGCTGTATTTGTCAGGTCAAAGGTCGCTGACCTTTGACTTTCGCGTAACCTCCAGCAGTTACTTCAACCTCCGAGGGTTGACTCGCTGGTGCCTCGATATGCTTTGCTTCGCTTGTGCCTTGGTATTTCGACACGACAGAAGCGCTTAAGAACGATTGTTTCCAACAGGTTAATGGCGCAACTGACAACGGTCGAAATGAAACCAGGAGAAAAAGGAATGGCGTATATCAGTCGATGTCGCGAGTTGCGCGACAAGCTTTTGCGATGCGGGGGGTCGATTTCTGAAGACGCCTTCGTGACAGTCATCATCGGCGGCCTCGGTCCTCAATGGCGCGCCACAAAGGCCATTCTCCGAGCCCACGGAAGAATCTCCGAAGCAGCACTCTGCGCCGAAATCCATGCCGAGCAGCAAGACATGGACCTGCAAGAAGAACGACACAAGAAGAAGATATCAGCACCAGAATTCGCGTTCCACACTCAGCGACGCTACAACAACTACAAACAACAACAGCCGAAGTCCGTACCTCCTTTCTGCCACATCTGCAAGACGTCAGGGCACCCGCGCACACACTGCCCGTATCGACAACAGTCAACTCCACCGCAACGGCAGCTTCGACCTTCCAGCAGCCAAGTGGCTTCAACGCAGGCGAACCCCACGAGTCAGTCGCAACAGTCAACAACACCACCTACACAAGGAGCAAGAAACATCGTCAGCTGCATGGCAAGACTAAGTGACTCCTGCATCACCGAGTCACCACCATACTACTCACCGGAAGAACGACTTGACGACACCACACCTCGCCGCGAGTCACTCCAGCCGAACCCAACATACGCAGCCATTGCTCAAAGTGAGCCATCCGGGAAGGACACGTGGTTCTTGGACAGTTGTTGCGGACAACACATGTGTTCTTCGGGACGCTTCGTGCAGCGAGAGTATCAACTTCAACACGAAGTGGTCATCACCATCGCTAATAATCAGAACCTGCGCACACGACGACAAGGAGTGGTACAACTTCAATCACGAGAGACAAATGTCGTTCTACAAATGTCTAAGGTTCTAATCGCAGAAGGCCTCGGTTACAACTTACTGAGCGTCAGTCAGTTGATGGCGAAGGGCATTCACCTCGAGGCAGACAGCACCACCCAGGAATTCAAGCTGTACCACGGGAAGGGTGGCCTCTACATCGGCAAGGCGATACTAAAAAACAACGTCTTCGTTCTCGATTTTGTCCCAGATCTCGGCACAGCAGACAGCGACGGCATCGTCACCTTCACCTCCTGGACCCATCCTCCAGACCTTGATCCAGACTTCAGTCCAGAAGGCTTCTGGTATTCACACACCATCCCTGAGGCAGAAAGAACAAGGGCGTTAGCAACAATTCAGACAACATCGGCAGCAGCAGAGACAACATCGGCAGCAGCAGAGACAACATCGGCAGCAGCAGAGACAACATCGGCAGCAGCAGAGACAACATCGGCAGTAGCAGAACCATCAACGGCAGCAGCAGGAACGTCAACACCAATCGCTGGTCCTTCAACGGCACCGCTCCTCGTCAACGACACACCACCGACACCCGCGCAACAACTTCACCCAGCACCACGAGAAGTTCATCGAAGCGCCAACTTCACCGCCAACTTCTACTCCAACTCCGACCTGTACCGACGATCACCCGGACATCGCGCCGACGAAAGCACCTGGCACGCAAGGATGGGACACCCAAGCAACACAGTATTAAACAATACGATAAGAGCAGGAGTACTCGACAAGGACTCACTACTACTGACCGACGGAAGAGAACTTCAACGAGTACGTGGAACGTGCTTCACCTGCCCTGAAGCTGACTTACCACATCGACCGTTCGCGTCTCACCATAACCCAAGCGCACCAACTTACACGCCACTCGAGAAGGTGTACAGCGACATCCTGTACAATCGCGAGCCGGGGCAGAACGCGTACAACTACACCATCACGTTCATCGACGCCGCGACACGTTACGTTTGGCACCTGAATCTTCCAAGCAAGGATATGGCGTTCGAAGCGTTCGTCGCCTGGCTCCCCGTAGCAGAAAGGGAATCGGGCGTCAAACTAAAGAGCTTCCAGTCAGACGGGGGAGGAGAATACACCTCACAAAGGTTCAAGCAGTATCTGGCAGAGAGAGGAATCAAGCGGCTCATTTCCCTTCCCTACGCCCATCAACAGCAGGGTGTAACAGAGAGGATGAACAGGACCCTCCAGAACACCATGCGGAAACTGTTACGTGGCATGCGGCTACCCACCCACCAGTGGCCCGAAGCAATGGACCATGCCCTGATGCTGCACAACTTGCTTTCTTCGTCGTCACTTCCGAACAACACATCACCGCATCTGCTGTGGACAGGAAAACTGGGCAGCACAAAAATGTTACGAGTCTTCGGCTGCATGGTACAGTACCGACCTCCATCTGCACGAGCAGGACGATTTTCACAACGAGCACAGTGGGGACTACACATGGGCATCGAAAAACACTACAACGCATGGAAGATTTTCGACGTTGAGACAAAAGAAACAGTGGCAGCACATGATGTCATTTTCTACGAGCGACTCACACTGCAGACGTACCTTGCCAACCTGGACGAGAACCGAGACCCCACAGGTGGCTTCCATGGAGACCGAGCCTTCGCTTCGGCAGAAGACGAAGCTGACTGGGACGAGCAGAACGTGGAAGGAGCCTCGGAAGAAGCCGGACCCCTCCCCTACTGCTCCGTCAATGTGCCAATGGACGACGAAAACCCACGCGAGAGCATCAACGCCGAAACCTACTACCATTTCGCTGACAACGGTTACGTTACACCTGCACAAGTAAACACCGACGAAGCAGAACGCATAGGACCCAACTTCGCACCTGATCCAGAAGCGGGAGACGAAGCTGCTTATCCCGCGGACATGTCACTCCCCCGCTACACACAGAGCGGACTCCAGATACTCGGGCTAGTCACTGCAGTACACGGCACGGGCGTTCCTAAGGAGCCTGCCACGGTTCAGCAGGCTCTGGGGGGGGAGCATAGGGAAAAATGGCGCGAAGCCATGGACAAAGAACTGAAGGCATTAGAGGAGCGCAACACGTGGAAAATTGTCCCCATCGGCGTAGCACGGAACAAGACCATTCTCACCGGGAAATGGGTCTTCCGCGTGAAGACGAAGGCCGACGGCACCATTGACAAATTCAAGGCACGATGGGTCGTGCGCGGCTTCGACCAAGAACACGGGCGAGACTTCACCAAAACCTTCGCTCCGGTCAGCCGACACACTTCGCTCCGAATTCTTCTCGCGATCGCCGCCATGAAGAAAAAGAAGCTACGACAAATCGATGTCGCGAACGCATTTCTCTACGCACCCGTTGACGCAGAAATTTTCGTGGAACTACCGCACGGTACCAACGGGGAGCCAAACCAAGTCTGTCAGCTACTGAAGTCGCTCTACGGGATCAAGCAAGCTCCGCGGCTATGGCAGCAGTACCTGCACGCCCGCCTCATTCGCATCGGCTTCAAGCAATTACCACACGATCAGGGGATGTACCGACTCACGAAAGGCGCAGATTACATCCTGCTAATCGTCTACGTAGACGATCTCCTCTACATCGGCTCAACCGACAGCGTCACCACCTGGTTCGAAGGGGAGCTGCAGCAGGACCTCACACTGACAGTCTCATCTACCGTTACACAGTACCTCGGGCTCAACATCCGGGAAGAAGAAGACGCCATCTACCTCAGCGCCGCGAAGTACGCCGACACCATCGCCAAGCGCTTCGCACTTACACCAACTATCATCTCTACACCGTACCACTACACGTCAGGAAACAACAAGGAAGGCTCCGCTCTACTCAAGCCCGCCGGCATACGCGACTACCAGAGAAAGCTGGGCTGTCTTCTCTTCGCAGCTGTCACCTGCCGCCCAGATCTATCGTACTCTGCAAGCCAACTCGCCACCTACCTCAAGAGACCCGAAGCGGAACATCTAGCAGAACTCGACCGCGCTCTTCATTACCTCATTAGCACCCCGACGATTGGTGTAACTTATTACAAGAACGCAACTACGCCGCCTAAGTTAATCGGCTACGTCGACGCCGATCACGCTGGCGATTCCGACAACAGGCGTTCCCGCACTGGCTACATCTACCGTCTCGAACCTATCGGACCTATCTCTTGGCAGTCGAGCAAGCAGGAACTAATCGCTCTCTCATCAGCTGAAGCAGAATATATTGCGCTCTGCTCAGCCACCAAGGAAGGACTTTACCTTCGCGAACTGCTGGAAGAAGCGAAGCTGGCTCAGTTACCCAGCTTCACTCTGTTCTGCGACAACCAGTCGGCAATCCGCATCGCCAACAAGAACGGCTTCGCGAACAGGACGAAACGCATCGCCCTGCGATATTTCTTCGTGAAGGATGAGATCGAAAAAGGGAGGCTTGAGCTGTCATATTGCCCCACGTCCGAGATGGCAGCTGACTATCTGACCAAGAAGCTCGGAAAGCAGAAGTTCGAATACTGCATGCTGCTGACTGGACAGAGCCACGTCAGCGACACTCCAGAAGCGAAGGGGAGTGTTGGAAACAATCGTTCTTAAGCGCTTCTGTCGTGTCGAAATACCAAGGCACAAGCGAAGCAAAGCATATCGAGGCACCAGCGAGTCAACCCTCGGAGGTTGAAGTAACTGCTGGAGGTTACGCGAAAGTCAAAGGTCAGCGACCTTTGACCTGACAAATACAGCGCGACAGCAAGGACACACAACTGACTCGCTACAGAGCAGTTGCCCGAGTCGTCACTGTATCGAACCGCAACAGCAACAGTAAAGTAGTTACAACCGTATCCCTTCGTATTCCTTGTACTCTTATATATAATCTTGTATCTCTTTGTTTTAATCAACTTAATTTGCCCTCACATACTAGCGCAAGGTGGTTCACAATCTCTTCATTAAAAACGCTTCCGCTATTACAGTCCTACCCAGAGTTCATCCCTGTAAAGATCCTAAGGGCTTTTCTCAGCCCAACACTCACTTGCAGCCACTGAGCAGCCTAGACAACCCATTAAAGCCCGCGTCCCATATTTCCACCCTTCCAACCAAGTGTAATATGGTTGAAATCGGGTAACCAGTTTTAGGTCGCTGATGAGCACTGATGGTGGACACAGGGTTGGGGTCGGGTTGGGAATGTGACTCGAGAGGAAGAGCTTGTCGTACATGTCAGCGCCAGCAATTGAACGCGCACCACCCCAAGGTGTGGAAATGCACCTGACGACGCAAAATGCTAGTCCCATGTTTCGATCGTGCGACACAACCACCTTGTGCGATGTTTCGTGGGAAAGAATGAAGAGGATGGGGATGGGGAAGCAGGGAGGGGGTTGGGGGGAAGCAGGGAAGGGTATGGGGGGAAGGTGGGAAGGGGACATGGGGAAGCAGGGAAGGGGAGGGGGGGATGCAGAAAACCGGATGTGGGGAAGCAGGGCTTGGGATAAGGGGAAAGAATGAAGAGGATGGGGGGATGCAGGGAGGGGGTTGGGGGGAAGCAGGGAAGAGGATGGGGGGAAGCAGGGCACGGGATGGGGGGAAGCAGGGAGGGCGGAGGGGGATGGGGGGGAGCTGTGAGGGGGATGGGGGCGAGGCGGGAATCTGATGGGGGGAGGCAGGGCAGGGGATGGGGGAAGCAGGGAAGGGGATGGGGGGAAGCAGGGCAGGGGACATGGGGAGGTGGGAAGGGGACATGGGGAAGCAGGGAAGGGGAGGGGGGTAGCAGAAAACCGGATGGGGGGAAGCAGGGCTTGGGATAAGGGGAAAGAATGAAGAGGATGGGGGGACGCAGGGAGGGGGTTGGGGGGAGGCAGGGAAGGGGATGGGGGGAAGCAGGGCACGGGATGGGGGGAAGCAGGGAGGGGGATGGGGGGGAGCTGTGAGGGGGATGGGGGCGAGGCGGGAATCTGATGGGGGAGGCAGGGCAGGGGATGGGGGGAAGCAGGGAAGGGGATGGATGGAAGCAGGGAAGGGGAGGGGGGGAAGCAGAAAACCGGATGGGAAGAAGCAGGGCTTGGGATAAGGCGAAAGAATGAAGAGGATGGGGGGACGCAGGGAGGGGGTTGGGGGGAAGCAGGGAAGGGGATGGGGGGAAGCAGGGCACGGGATGGTGGGAAGCAGTGAGGGGGATGGGGGGGAGCAGGGAGGGGGATGGGGGGGAGCAGGGAGGGGGATTGGGGCGAGGGGGGAATCTGATGGGGGGAAGCAGGGCAGGGGATGGGGGGAAGCAGGGCAGGGGACATGGGGAAGCAGAGAAGGGGAGGGGGGGAAGCAGGAAACCGGATGGGGGGAAGCAGATGGGAAGGGAGGCGGGAGGGAAGGCGAAGGCGACGAGCAGTGGATGGCAGGTCGACGGGGAAAGCGAGGGCGACGGGGAAAGCGAGGGCGACGGGGGACGAAGGGAGGGCGACGAGCAGAACGGACGGCAACGGGAAGAAGCGCGGGCGACGGGAAGGGAGGGCGACGTGAAGGGAAGGCGTGGTAATGGGGGTGCGATCACGTGGAGGCCAATGTGCGGGAAGCAGTGGGGGAGGCGTGTGTGATAGGATGTGCGACTCGAACGCATTGTTTTACTCACGCGCCCATTCATCGGCGCCTCGATCCGCCCCGGCAGCGGTGGATTCCGCCATTCCACGCGCGACGTGCAAATTATCCGTCGTAGCTAGATGTGTGAGGAGCTTTTCAGGAAGGAAGGTGCAACTAACCAGGTGTGTTTTGGTAAAACGGGAAGGGGCTTGTGTGCTGGAGGAGAATGACAGCTCCCGAAAATGTGTGTTGTTTTTCATCGACTGTGTTTGTCGCAAGGAGTGTGTGTTTCAAACCCCACGACCCTGTTTTCACTGGTTTGGGTGTGTCAACAGGTTAGGGCGGTAGGGTTGGTGTTGAGGGTACAGTGTTCAGGTTTCGCCCAAGTCACCCCTCCTCTCGTGCAAAACTTCGCTGCTCGTGCACCAACCCCAGGCGCCAACTGTTAAGGGGGGATTTTCTGTTCATTCCGAACAGTACTTTCCAACTCACCCTTATCATTATCTTTCTGGTTTTCCTAGTGCCACGTGGCACTCTTCTTTTCTTGCCTTCAATTCCTAGTCCCACGAAGTACTTTCCGACATTCGATCTTGCATGCTATATCAACCTTGCTTGTACTTGCCATTATCAACCCATTCTCATTCATCAAATACTCAATTACTTCTTCGCCTATTTCGCCAACACATCTTTCGCCAAAGTCTTCCGCCACGCTTTATCCTCAATTTAGTCAACCCCGCTATTCCTTAGCGGATTTAGGCCAGCGGGCCTAACACCAACACCCAACCAAGTGTAATACGTTAGAAATTATTAGACGCCGATTTTAACAATCTTATCTTGCACATCCCTGTGACAAGCACATACAATACACAGCCCATGGCCGTTGCACATCCGTTACATGGAACCCTTACTCATCGATACAAAGCCGTATGATATCGCTTTCGTCATCGTCTCTTCCCATCAGAGCATGCATGCATGCTTCTGACCCCTGAGATTTACGTCTTACGGCTTAGGGCGCGGAACATTTGAAACTCTACGAGATTTTCCATACGGGTGTCCCCAGTTACATACCCTCGTCCGGTTTGGTCCCAAACGGATGACGGTTCGGACCATACCTCGTCCAAGGCTGAAGTCGGAACACTTGAACGCTTTTTTAATCTGAGGTTTCGAACGTCGACACAGGCGACTGGCCACGTCGCCATCAGGATTGGCCCTCTTGCAAGCTCGTCAATCTGGGGGGAATATGGCGATGTCGCCTGGCATTGAAAGAATGCCCCAAATGCAGACGCGCGATGACTGTACATGTGAGGTCCAAACAGGGCAAAACAGCCCGTTCGAACCGTTGTGAGAGTGAGCTCATAGTCAGATGTTCCAACAGTCGTCCGAATCTTGGCGACATCGCAAACCCATTGACGAACCTCAAAGCGAAAACCCACGAAATGGGTCACCACATCGAGTTTCGAACGGTGCTCTGGTTCGAACAGGCCAATTTTCAAATGTTCCGCGCCCTTAGATGCACCACGCCAGCCCACTGTCTACCCCTCACGAAGAAATAGAGGTTCTATCAGAATTGTTTCTCCCCTCTTCTCTTCTCGGAGAATTGCTGACTTCAACTCAGTGGAGCAAGATTGCATTTGGTTGTATGATTTCCTTGTCAAGTACGAACAGCGTCAATGGTGAACCGAGGAGAGAGCTGCCATGCATTTATTCAGGGCCTAAATTAGATAATGGTAGGATATAAGGGAACCAGATGTAAATGCATAAAAAGTACCGGTAGGTAGATGGAACAGCAGGGCCGAATTATAGAGAGGATAACCCTAAACCCTAAGCCCCAACAGGAAGGGCCGAATTGAGTGAGACAGGGACGAAGCGGGAATGGATGAGTCTAGCACTGTAGAATGGCAACTTTGGTAGAACGGTAAGTGTCAATCAGGTACTTGAGCCAAGCAATAGGCATGTGCGCTTGCTTGTTTGTTTCCTTAAAAGCATTGAACCAATTCTGCTAAACCCGCAGTGTTGGTAGTCATAGAAGTTGATAGGCAATGCTTGGTAGCTGCCACCATCTTCTACAAACAAGCAAGGAAGACGTCAGATAGGATGCAGCTACGATCAGGCCAGAGTTATGCGTCTGAAGGAGCCGAGGCAGTGCAGGCAACTCCGAGTTGGCACACGCATGCAAGTAATAGGAAAGGTGAACCCACATCCCAAAAATGGGGGCCCCCGAAAGGTACAGCCCTGTTCGGTAGCCTCCCAGTCGTACTGGGCCCACTCGAACTGGGGAAGCGTCCGAGATGTTGCGTTGCCTCGGGCTTCCACTCACACTGAAAGGAACTTTCGAGTCTAGTTTAGGTTAGTTTCCTTAAGATATTTAATAACTTTCTCGACACGATTGTGGTACTGTACCAGACTGACCCAAAAACAAATCGAACTGGCCTGTCACAAGGTTACCCTGCTATTCAAAGAGGAAAACAAAAACATCACACGTTGTGCGCCAGCTCTTTTTAATTAAAGAAGGTAAGAGTTCATTTTTTTTGCCCGAAACTTGTCAATCTAAAGTTAACCCAAAACTGTGCCACTCAGAGTGGCCCTCGCGGAGTGTAACTGAAACCCGAAACTGAGAGCCACTTCCACCGCGAGTCCAGTTTGCCTGGGAAGCAAAATTTCCGTGCAGTTTCTGCGCCCGCAGTCAGAGTTGGCTTTTTGAGCGTTCGGTAGCCAAGTCACACTGGGCAAGTTCGGTGTTCCAATATCGAGTTTGTGGGCTTTAACAGTCTCCAAAATTGTACATAGGAACCGTCCCTCCACCAACCGCAGTATGAGTGGGACCCATACCGAACAGGGCCTACCGTGATCTCCGGGTTAGAAGCCCTAGGGGTCTTATCCTAAATGTGCTTAGAATGGGTTGTGGGGTCTTATGTAACGACGTATAGTGCATAAGACCCCTGGACATCTATTAATTACTAAAAAATGGATTGTGTAGTGCAGTGTTGAAGAAATTCAAAAATTTCTGTACTGAATTTTGGATTCCTTCACAGCGCGGAAATTCATTCCCAGATTCTCGCACTCGAGTCTCCCTGATTCCTTTCCTCACGTTAAGAAATGCCGAATAATGACAGGCATGTCAGCATTTCATGCCTGAAGGGCGGCAAAAACACGTGATTGATGTGGCATCTTGACTCCATTGACCACAAATTCGCCTGACAAAGTGAATTTGGTGGTTTTTTGTGTGACTCGCTAACCAGCTCATGAACTAACACTGCTCATTATCGCCTGAGGGGGGGTCTTATAAAGATCTGGGTCAAAAGACGGGTCCTCTCCAGGACTGACCTAATAAAAGACCCCTGGTCCGGATAGAAGACCCACGGGGCTTTTATGCGGGGGGGTCTTGTAACCAGGAGATCACGGTATGTCTCTGAGGGGTATGTTCGAAATAACTATCTGAGCTGAGTGGGGAAACATACCTTTGACGGGTCGCGTCGAAATGACAAGAGCCCAAGCAGCTTCTGAACTCCCCGAATTGCTTGGGCAGTAATGTTGGCAGCTTCGGAAATTCCAGGATTCGTTGAGGAGCCAGGTTGGCAACTTTGAATTTCATCTCAGCCTCGGAACCCATGGTGGAGGCCTGTAACAGAGCACTCGTGTCCTATTGGCTCAAGGACTCGAACATTGAGGGTTAAAACTCTAATATGTCTACACCTGTTGTAAGAACATTGAATGTGAAACATATGCGTATAAATCAATTGTTGTGCTCTGAAGATTATATTAAGAGTGGAAAACGTATACCTGTTTACAACTTTTGTACCCCCTGAAATTTCTGTGCTGGCGTTGGATAATAATTATACACTTTATGAAAACATTGAATGTAAAAACAACTCCGATATATTCTATGATAGTGCTCTAATATTGGGGGGTCCCGTTCCAAGGGAGTTTTTTCCCCGGGTTTTTTTGTCTCCGTTGATTTTTTTCCCCGTGTATGTTTCCCGCCTTCGCACGATGTCTTTGACAGTTCTGTTCCGATCCCCCGCAACGCACCAGCCAAGCCAAACCCATCAGACTGGGAACAGGTTGGGGAAGGCAACTCGTCGTGTGCCATCCATGCACTAGCTGGGTGTCTCTCTCGCTGACGTTGAGCACTCCTCCATCCAACCAACACTCTTCCAGTGTTGCTGTTAGAGTAGCACAAGTAAAGCTCGGCTGGCTCAGTCGGACTATTCATGGCCAGCGAGGACGATGGCGCGACGCCAGTATCACTGGGTCTAACCGGATTAGACTTCTTGCCTCTTGTTCGAGCTATGTCCACGTTACCAACACCCTCACCTGCAGCTGGTTCATCTCGAACTCCTGCAGTCACATCCGCCCGTGCTAGTACGAACGGCACCAACGTTGTACCACCTGGTGCGACACGCATCGGCCCTGCCGCTACTGCTAAATTAAGAGCGACAAAAAACAAACAGTCGCGCTTGTCATTCTCTCGCGACAATCCTACGGAACCCACCGTACGTATCCGCTTAGAGCCAGCTCTACCAGGACCATCGGCCCTTCCTGCAGCATCTTCATCTACTGAGGAACTGCGCGATGAGGCAGCGCCCCTACACTTCGCAGAAGAACGGCATGGCTGAGCCAGAGATGCGGACGGTCATTGAGTCCATGCGGACGATGCTGCTGTGCATGGGCATGCAGCAGCACTAGTGGCACTTCGCTCTTCGACAAGCTGTCTAGGTGCGCACTCGCTTGGAGCGGTCGACGAAGCCGCCGGGGACGACTCCATACCAGCCGCTGACCGGGAAGAAGCCCGACCTCATGCTGGCGCGGATGTGGGGCTACATGGTCAGTTCATGGTTCCCGAGCAGGAGCGCGGTGGGAAGATGGCGCCGAGGGCTCGCTGGGGGCTTCATCTGGGCATGTCGCCGGAGAGCAAGGGCTAGGAGTGCTCGACCTGACCGACAACAAGGTGGTCACGTCGGTCGAGGTGATCTTCTATGAGACGCTGTCGCTGGAGGTGTGGAAGGCGAAGTATGGGCCGGCGTCTGGGCGGACGCAGTC